TTGGTAGATTGAAAAAGGTGTAATTACTGCAGCTTAGAGTGTTGAATTTTATTAAATGTGGCAGTTCAACAAATTGCAGACATCGGGATACTTTCATCCTCTCAGCAGCTCAATTATTTTACACAAAAAACAAACCTGCATGAAATTGGTCTAGAGGAAGAACTTCAATTATTCTAAATTGGTTAAAAAAAAGGGAGGAAAAACAGGCATATAATGCAATTTGTACTTCAATTTGATGCCTGAAAGTATTGAAGTGTAGGTTTGACATTAATTAATCAGTCATTTTCACAAAAATTTGGAATTACAGATGGTCTTTTTAATTATTAAACAGATAGTCAGATACACTAAATGTTTTGAGACTTCACTAAGATAGGTTTACTGCGACTCCACTATACCACCTGGATGGCAAAATTTGTGTATTATAATGTAAATAAACCGGGGCAGATAAACATCAACATCGTAAAGAATTTATTTGTCCATAAATAGAATGCATTAGATATATGACACGAGAACATTAACCAAAAAATTCTGTTGGGACATGGTTGCATCGGAGAAATTAATTGAGAATCATAATTCTTGTCATACTTTCATTCATATTTTGTTTCCCTGCCCCGTTTGGTTCCATGTTGTCTACCTTTAAAGGATTTAGTAATGTGTGAATATTTATTTTTAGGTAATAATGCCTGTTGTATATTATGACAGCCTTATATTCTTTGCCATTAGACAATTGGCTATAGATTTAACATCCACTTTACCTTATATCAGTCGACTTTCAGCTTATTATCCCTAGTTGGTCATATCAGAAATTGTTATTCATTTTTTTGTCTTCTTGATTTAATTTTATGTTTAGTCTGGGATGAAAATATTACAGCCTTGTGCAGACTACATTGAAGCTTTAATGATAAAAAGCCAATTTGTAGAGGAGTTTATGCCCCATCATATCCCATGCTGCAAGTCTTAACAGTGGCCAGATAGGGGTTTTGTGTGGTTAATGTCACCTTGGAGAGAGTATTAGTGTCTGTCAGTGTTATATAGAAAATTACTTCTGGATAAAGAACATCTGCACATGTAAAGATTTATATTTCTTCACCCCCCCCCCCCCAAAAAAAAAGGGTTGGCATTAAAGAGTTTCTCGATCACAACCCCCCAATTACAGGAGAAAAAGGATGATTTTTATTTTTAAATTAGCTTGTTTAAGATAAATGAATCTTTATCTGTTTCTTTTTTTTTTTTAGATTCAGCAAAAATCAGGAAATATTGCCTTGGATGCAATAATAGCCTGTCATTTACCCCCATGTGACAGGGTAGGTACTAAATACCACGATCTGTAATTGAAGGAAGTTGGGACTGGCATAGAATATTTTAGAAACTGGGCTGAACCCTGTTACTAGATGAAAAATAGTGACATTTGCTGTGGTACATCCATGATTTAGCATTGTTTATATTTGAGAATCAGTATTTATCAACTTGGTAGGTATATATTAAATATTGTGAGAGCTTTTAGCTTAAATTTATTCTTAGATGTGTTCGAGGCTGCTGTTTGGTTAAGCATTATTGTGGTGATTTGGCACTAGCTAGAAGGCTCGATTAAACATTAAATGAGATATAAGAAACCTCTGCAGGGTGTCTTAGAATAATTTTCTAAAAATATAAGCTATCCTAATCTCTTAGATAGTTTGACTTTTAAATGTTTCTGTTCAGAAAGGATTTTGGATAAAGCATGCTATATTGTAATAATCTGATCACTTAATAAGATACTGAGGTACATGCTAAAACATAAACTTTGTAATAGTAAATGGACTAGCTCTGTTTGAAAGATCCTACAAATGTTTTCATGTAAAATTATATTATAGCATCCTGGCAACCATACATGTATGTGAAGGGCTAGCTAGTAATATATACTAAGTTTTCATCATGCATCACATACATGTATATAGTGTTCAAAGTGCATGTATCAACTATCATTCTTTTTATGCAGAATTCAAGAAGTGCATGTTATAAATGATTAAAAATCATAATATTACTGGTACTGCATGCTTGAAACTTTTATTTTGTTTTTAAAAGAATCATTTTTTTAACCTTTTGTATTCACATGATGATCCTGCTGCACTTTTAGCACAGTTTATATGCCTCACATTACCCCGAAAATAATTTTATGCAAGTCTATGAAAAGATTCAGTATACATGATATAATGCACCAAACTCAATTTCATTACAGAAGAACTTTTACACAGCTACCTTAAGACGTTTTGACATTTCTTTTTGTGTATTGGTTTCACAAGCATTGGGGCAGTATCACGTATGCACGCATTTGACATACAGAGATAATGAATTTCATCACTGAAAATGAAGATGTTTTCCTTTGACAGGTATTTAACTACAGAATTTAATATGTATGTAACTTGAAGAATGTCCCAGTTTTATAAAAATTGGTCATCATATGTATTTAATTTGGGGATTTGAGAAATGAGTTTGTCTGAATTATGTTAAATTCCACTTAATTCATCACATGACACCCACATTGAAAAATAAGTACAAGTAAATTATTTAAACAGCAAGATTTATGAAACAAAGGGTAGATTCTCTTCTTGTATAGATGTTTTCAAGCCCTGGCAGCATCAATGGCTATTTTGTCTAACATCTGTATTCACTATTAACAGAATTTAAAAGGCATGCATCATAGATAATCCACTTACATCATAACAAGAAATTTGATGATAACCTCCCTACAGAAATGGCAAAGTATTTATTGCAGAGTTCTGATTAACTGAGAGATGGAGATCACATGAACAGACATGCATTTTTTTTTTGGTATTCATTCTAATTTTATGAAATGTTAAGACAGGTTCAATAAATTAACCTATCTGCACAATACTCCCAATGCATGGAACTGTCAATGATAATTTGATTATTTGAAGCAAAATAAGACAGATGTTGTGCAACAGATATAATATGCAGTGAAAATAGTTGAAATTTCTGATGAATCAGCACATAAAAGATACCATAAAATCAATAATGATAACCACAGCAGACTTGTGTGTAGAGCTAGTGGATTGCCTTATGAAGCCAAATCCTAAATCTCACTTTCAAGTCAAGGTTATGACCAGAAGACTGCATTAAATTTTATTGATACCTCATTAAATTGTAGTTGTGTAAAGGGAATTTATTTTAGAGGAAAAATATTTTTGTCAGCGGGACTTTGTACCAATTAAATGAATGTTGCCTTTTAAGAAATAATAAAAAAAAAGTGTTTTACAATATGGATTGTATGCTACTTTGAGTTATAAAATATAATATTCCCTTGATTGATATCCCCTCATCTTGTTATAGTCAATCTTCCTGATAAAAATCCATGTTTCAAATATTTTCAAAAATAAATTTGAACCATGTGCAGGGAAGTAATAACTTGTATTCAAGTGTCTGATATTCGTTTTAAAAATAAATAACAAAAAAACTTCCTTTATTCAACTAAATGAAATGGTTTCTATATACATGCATGTATATCAAATAAAAGATTTACTATGCAGGGTTTTCAGTTTGGTCAATATGATTTAGTAACAATGCAGTTATCTGAATGATAATTGAAAAAATAAAAAATGATTGATTCCTTATTCAATTTTTACCATACACTTTAGAGGACATTGTATTCATAAATATTAATTGCATTTATTGTAGAGTTTTTACACAGAGGAAAGGAAAACATTTTTTTTTTGTTTATAAGGACAATTAAAGAGCAGTATGTATGAAATCAAGAGGTTTATGCAGTGTCAATTTACACAGAGTAACATCATATATCATACACATTTTTTTTTAACAATGAATGTCTTGCCTCTACTTAAATTTCAGTAGGAAACTTCCTTTGTTGATATTTCCTGGCAGTGTGTGTACATGTAACTGTAATTTAAGTTAGTCATAATTCTCCTCTATAATGTATGTATAATACTGTCTAACCATTGAGTTTGTTACATAATTGTCACTCCATTGTGTCATCTTTACAGCCACTGAAGTTTATCAGATGATCAAGAATAGAGAAAACTTTCTATAGGAAGAAGAAGTTATGGAAGGAAATTAAAAAAAAATCAAGAGTAAGCACTAACTTCATATGAGTAAACAGTATCTGGAAATGTTTATGTCAAAACTTGATATACATTAAATAAGCTAAGTTCTTCTCATCTGAATAGACAGGTGTTGATACAGCAACTTGACATCTCCACAACCAACTCTGTTTATTATGCTTTAACATCTAAAATACTCTAAAAGTCTTTTTACTTACAAGTGTGTAATTGAAACACAGTTACTATCCTCAAGTTATTATACATGGGGTGGGGTGGGGGGTGATTTTCACAGACAAAAGGCCTTTGTCAATCAAATTTATCAAATACATGCAGACTTTTTCTGCAAAGAAATCCTTTTAAGTAATCTCTTTTTGTAAAATGATTTATCAAACTGACTCAAATGATTTTAATTTTTTTATCATTTACAATTTTTTTATCATGACAAATCCTGAAAGAAGTTAATCTGTAAAAAGCTAGGGTTTATGGAAATGTTCAACTGTGGCAGCACCGTGATTAGTCATTCCAGAATCAAATTCTCAATGTTATCTACAGAAATCGGTATGAAATTTTTTGAAATAAACAAATGCAAGTATTTTTAGAAATTTGAAGAAGAAATTCAGTATTGTGAACCAGCACCTTTACACATTATCTTGGAATACTTAGGCATGTGCCCTTTCTTCAATACTATCTCTCTTTGTATACCATATATATTACATGTAGATGGAGATTAGTTTAGGTCTCAACTAGAATTGTTTAAAAGACTTTTATTATAATAACAAGTGTGACCTTTTAAAGTATTTGTATTCTAAGTAGATGTTAAGGGCTGTTATTCATTAGAGGTCAGAGATAATGAATATCCCAAAACAAATGATACTTCTTATATCCACATCCTGGTACTATGTTTGTGCATGAAGGACCTTTGTTTATTTGAAGAGAAATATAAGAATGAACTCTTACCTCATCACTCTGTCGAGGAAGGATGTGTCTGTCTAAATATTCTCCAACCATATTGAAACTCTGTACTCCTATATTAGAATGCTTATGGGTCTGAAAATTTTTGTAATTTCCAAAAATAGATGGTGAATACAAAATTTTGTTTTCAAACTGATAATCCAAATTTGGTGTTTCATTTAAACCATCCTCATCAGAATCATCTATTTGGAATTTCACATTATGATCTTTGTCCTCACTGCTGTTCAGCGTTTTTAGTGACTCCTTTAATGAATCGGTCACAGATTTGGCGCGTTCTTGAGATCCTTCAAGGGGAAACATTTCTTGCTTTATCTTTACTGCTTTTAACTTTGGTGTAAATCTTGGGATGTTTGTTCCTTTTTCAGGATTTGCAAATATTTTGCGAGTTTTTGGTGTGTTTGTTGGTGTGGTTTCATCACTGCTTTCTAATTCAGCAGTTTTCTCATCACAGGTTGTATTCCTTGTCGATTGTATTCTTTTATTATCAACGACAGCATCCCAAACACCTGCAGCTCGAATTGAATTCATTTCTCTTCTTCTTGAACTTGCTTTATCCCTTCGCATTAAACAACTCTCCTCATTTTCTTGTGGGATACAAGGGTCAACATCTGGTTTTACCTCTTCCTGAATTTCTTCAGTTTCATTTTTTACCATACCCAGGTCACTGCTTTCAGCGTCAATCAAGGGGATTTCTATGTAATTGTTTTCAACTTTACATTTTTCTTTGTCTTCTGAGAGTCTTTGCTCACTAATCCCATTATGAGTTTGGTCAGCATGCCTGTGTTCTGTGGCTGTTATTTCTTTCTGAACATTTTCAGAGCTGTCGATAGTTACTGGTGTTGAAATATTTTTGCATGCTTTCTCATTATCAGACCCATTACCATTTTTCATTTCCTTGGTTGACTTATCTAATGAATTTTGTACATTTGTTTTCTCCACACATACAGGTCTGGTAATTTCTTTACTTTCCAACTGGCAAAATAATTCACACTTTTTGATATCGTTACTACCAATATTTTCTATGTGGCTCTTGAGTTGTTTATTAGATGGCTGTTCTTTTTCTTCCTTTACATGGTCAATTTTTTCGTCAAACTCCCTGCTCCTTCTGTCAGCAACACGACCCTTCCATTGTTGGAGACAGGACACCACAGTCCTTCGTTTGGCTTCTGAAGGCTTGGGTAAGACCTTTGGTGGCTGTTTGGGTTTTGGTTTTTCAAACATTGCTCTTTTGTCAGAGAATGGAACTGTCTGCTGTTGGTCATTTTTCGCTGGTTCTTTCTTTTCTTTACTTTCATTTTCTGATTCTTTTATTTCTGACAGTGTATCTGAGGCCACAGGGGTTGTTTCTGGGAACAATTGTCCTTGAAGTGGATTCCCATTGTCATCTACTGCAATTCGTTTCCATTTACCACAGGCATTAACCCACTTCAAATTCCTCGAGTTCAACTGCATGGAAGGAGACACTGGTTTGTTCCGCTCAATTTTAGGCTCTGGAATGTTGATTTTTGCAGCTTTCCCAAGAAAATTCCGCCGTATTTCTAACACTCGGTTCCCACCGGCACAAGAAACTCCCTGTTTACTTTCAACTCCGTCTTCGTTTTTGAGCCCTGTTGGACTTTTGCTTCTTGACCTAAATTTATTTCTGTTTTCTTCTTTGCTGTCTTGGACATCCTGTAGACAAACTGTGGCAGTGAATCTCCTAATACCTTGTCTGTCCCGTTCCTTTTTAACAACAGTTTGCATTTCATTTTTCACACGAGTCGCCTTGTTTGAATTTGATTTAAGATCTTGCACACTGTCTGTAGACTCGACAGAATATCTGTCTTTGTGCTCAGTAATTGTTTGTAAGGATTCTGTTGTCTTTACTTGAGAAGTGTTTGACATACCTCCAGATAGTGCACTACTGCCTAAATCTGTTACAGATGTTGATTGTGTATTAGCATTATCACTTACATGATTGCATTCCTGGCCATCAATGTCATTATTTTCAGGCAATATACTTGGTTCAAATTTATTTTCTTTAGGAGTTGTTCCAGGGCTAGTTGTAGTTGTATCGTCATTGATTAAATCATGATTACTTGAATCTCTAGCGGCTTTTTCAGTTTTATTTTGCAATATTTCCTGACTGTCTAGAGGTCTAACACCTGTTATATCGGAAATCTGGACATTGCTTTCGGTATGATTTTCGTTATCAGATAATCTATCTGTATTTATTTCTTTACTTTCTTGAGTAAGAAAGTCGTGAACTTGTGGCTTAATCCCACTTTGCTTATGTTGAAACCCGTTGACATCAGTTATCTTCAAAGAAGTTGATTCACTTTTGCTGTAATCGTTGCCCTTATCTCCCGTGGATATACCGCACAGTTTTATATCTTCGGAATTGGCAGATTCACATGAACTGGATTTTGTCACGTTGGTATTTGGAGAATCAGAAACATTAGTTTGATCTGGACTTAACTCTAACGTGAAGTTCACTTCATGTTGAATATTATTACATATTGCACTGTTAGTGTCCCTTTGAATATTAACCCAGTCCTCTTCTGGCTGAAGTTTAAGAACTATGTTAACATCTGAAAGTCGATTTGACGAATAATTTGGTACCGATTGGCAGGTTTTGTCTTCGAGAATAAAACTAGCATAAACATGTTGCGTGTCTCCCTGTGTTGCTGTTGTCTCACTATATGTTAATACTTCCTGAGTATTTGAATTTTGACAATTGTCATGATAATCTATATTTTCACCTTCCTTCTCTCTTAAAGTTCCGCTCAAACTTGTGCTCTGTTCAGTCCGGAAGGAAGATAAACTATTTATATTGTGATCATAACACAAAGATTTTTCATCATTAATGAAATTTTCTTTCACGTTGCTAAGAATTGTATATGCAGTAACTTGGTTATCATGACTCGATTTTACAACACAGCTGCTTGATTGAGGGATTTCGTTTGCTTTGACAGACAGTTCGAATGCACGTGTTTCCGAAGTTTCTTGAACACATTCACATTGTTTAGGACTCAAAATTTTTGTGGTTACTGTCTCATATCGCGCAGTTCGTTCACTGCGCGTGAATGTTCTCCGCTGTCGTGTGATTCGCTTGGTGGGCCCTCTCTGTATTTCCATGTTGCTATTTGTGTATGCAGTGATAGTCTTACTGTCCATTGGGAATTTGATATCACATTTTCCATTTTCCATCATTGAGTCCCCTATGTCGGAATCAAAGGATTCAAAGCCCTCTTGATCTGATGTATCTGAACTCACTGATTCTAAATCTGTCCTCGTTGTATGGCTTAAATTTGAAGAATTTTGGTTCGTGGGATTTGGTTCACTTGCAGAAAGGTTTTCCCCCGATGTGCAGATATCAGCATTTTGATAGGAATTTAATTTTATGTCGTAATCCTCCACTTGGGGTCCAGAATCAGATGTACTTTCTTTGCAACTCGGTGCAACATTTTCAAAGTTGACGGTTATTCCCCCATCATTGGTCGAAGTAAGTGTTTTTTCAAGTGTTGAGGAATCAGAACTAAACCCCTGATCCGATGTTTCATTACTTGAACTACATAAACCATCCATGGTTTCTTGCTGTGCGGAAACACAGTTTTCATATGATAAGTTGGGTAGGTTATCCATAGTATTTTTTGATTGATCATTGCCAAAAGACTTTTTACGTTGCACTGGTTGAGAAGCCCCCTTGCTGCCTTCATTTACTGGGAGCTTGGAGTTATCATTTCTTTCATCAAAATAATCCCTTAAATTTGTGAGCTCCTGCAATTTTGTTTCAATATCTGTAGACACATATTGGTTCTTATCTTTTTTACACAGTCGCACACTATTTACATTCAAGACTTCACGATCCTGCTCACGATTCAAAGGATGAGTAATATTTGAAGGTATTAAATCAGTTGAATCCTTATGTACATCATTTTCAAGTAGCGGTATTGTTTTTGCAATTGCATGGTCGTTGTCGCCCGATTTGCTGTTACATTTAAGGTTAGTTTCACGGTCGTTTGCATTTTGCACATGGTAATTGCAATGTTGACTTTCTCTTGATTGCTCTTTTGCAGGTAATCGCATAGCCATTTCTTCATTATTGTGTACAATGGGTGCTTCTTTTCCAGTGAAATAATTATGTGGTACTAATGCAGGCGACAGTTTTCCATGGTCCTTATTGGAATCATTTTCATCACTGTTTTTTAATATGACCACGCTTGATTCCTCTTGAGTGTTTCCTACTATATTTCCCAGATGCAAATCCTGATAAGAGGCCTGTGACGGTCCGAAACATTGTATTTTATTGGAATGTGTAATATCTAGGGATGATAAATTATCCAAATTTTCATCGTCACTCGCCGACCAGTATTCTTCACTGGACGTGGAAACGTCTCCAGTCTTATTAGCTTCATTGATTTTTTGTCCAAAATTGGTTTCTAAAGTACTTGATGAATTAATGGACACGAATTCCTCACATCTCTTTTTTTCTTTGATTACGTCTGATGAAATTTGACTGCTGTCAGTTGTGCATCTCTGGGTTAGATTATCTGTTGAAATTGAGCTAATAGTTTCGCTATAACCGTCCTCTGCCATTGATAGGGTGCACCTGTTTTCATCTGATGTTGCTGTATATTCCTGCTTTTTAACATTTATGTTCGGTGATTTTCTAGATAAATATGGGGATGTTGTAGAACTTTCTTTGTTCATTTTTTCATTTCGCATGCGTTTGATTTTATCATTTTTGCTTAAAATATTTTTCTCGACTTGCCTCATATCTGTTTTTATCTTCATATCTGTGGCTGGCTTTATATTGTTTTTTGAAGTTGTTTTGGTTGTTGATAAGTTTTTCCTTTGCATATCTGTAGAACTCTGAAGTATAGGGGTGGATGTACGAGGAGCGGGAATATTAGACTTGGCGTCAATATGAGATTTTGAGATATTAGCAGCTTTTGTCGGCAGAGTCTTTGGAATGGAGGTAGGTACAATGGTTTTGGATCTCACGGTAGAACTCGTGATTGTTGCATTTTGAACACCACTTATTTTTCGTTTAGAGATAGGCTGTGAGTCTGTACTTTTGCTGTCCGATTTGGACGTTGTTAATGAGAGGCGGGTGTTATCTTTG